CCTATTTCTCTCAAATATTGTTCACAAATCTGTCTAAATCTGTGTTAGTGAGCACTTCTCCTTTGCCGAGATAATCCATCCACCTCACAGGTCTGGCGTATCAAGATGCTGATTAGACAGCATGATTATTGCACAGGTGTGCCTTAGGCTGGCCACAATAAAAGGCCACTCTAAAATGTGCAGTTGTACTGTATTGGGAAAGATTACAATATTAAGAACAATATTAAGCAGATTAAGAATGGGGCATAGTAACCTACTCTTCATATTATGGGAAATCCAACAGGACTGTGCACCCAGTGTCAGGAATACCTGTAAAAATCTGTTGAAAGTAATGTTCAGTAGTTTTTAATGAAGTAGTTAAAAGTATTTCAGAATGTGCAGAGAGAGGGCAAGGAGACTGTAATATCCTGCTGAGAACCAGAATTTTTTTTTTATGTCATTGGTTGGAGCATAAGAAACAAATGAAGAGAAATCATTTTTGAAAAAAAATAATATGTTATTCCTTTGTAGAGGACGCCAGCACTAAGTTATTCAGGGGAAAAGTAGACATGAATAGGCAAAAACAATGTTTTATTTATTTTTTTTAATTCACCAATCAGTTTTTAGGGTTTTAGGCTATTTTTAGCCAAACTTTGTACAAAGATGATTCTCAACTATGTTATGAAAGCTATAACAGAATGATTTGATATACTATTGTACTTTATGGTATATGTGGGTATTCCCATTCTCTACAATGTATCTATACACTGCATCTAATTTGCATAATAATGTGTTCTTGAGGCAAACATGAGAGAAGTGTAATAATGAGAGTAATAACTTAGCAACAGAATATCTCATATTTCATAGGAATATTGATCTATAATTTTAGATTTGATCATTCTGTCAATGCCAGTCATATTTAAAGACCAAGGAGAGGCAGTGTTTATGATCAAATCTCCGAACATTTGATATCCATAAAAAGCCCTGAATGTGCTCTGAACAGGACATCCAGACTTCAAACTGTGGCATGTAGGCTCTCAGAGAAATTCACTCAAATATAATATCCTCAGAGGACAAAAGTCTATGCCTGGGTCGCAGGAGGATATAATGCACTGAAGAACAGCAGGTGGCAGTAATGCAACACATCGGATGGAAACTGCCGTAAAACCCCGACGAAGAAGAAGAAGAAGCGCGCTCAGATCGGATCAGATGATCACACACCGTTTGAAAAACCGCGGGAAACAGACGACACGCACTTTCTCCTGCTTCGTTTAATATTTCAGCTCACATAAGGTAACATTTTAACACAAAATATATACAATATATAACATTTACAAATTCCCCCAGAGATTTGAAAAGCTGTAGATGGGAGTAAAAGCTTGTTGTGGCTGTTATCTGTGAAGAAAGAGAAACTTACACTGTCGTGTATGAACACCAAAGGTGTCTGGATCAGTGCTGTTTTATGTGTCTGCTGAAGAGGAGAATAGTATTGCATGCACTGTATAAAAAAATTGGTAAAATACCGGCAGCTGTAACTTTACCGTAAAAAATATATGCTATCAACATTTATTATCTGATATAATGTTAATATACCAACCTATTGAAGTACTATCTGTTGAAATACACTGATAACCTCCAAAAACAGCTGATGAGAAAGTCACATGATGAAAACTTTTCCACTAGCTGTCATAGTTTATAGTTATATGGTAACAAAAGTGTATTTTTTGTGAATGGAACGCTTTCACTTTCGCTTTTAGAATTCTCCATCTTTTGGTGTCACGTGTTCAAGAAAAGATCATTGTCTGTTGTGCTTAACGTTACAGCTATGCACCTTTCACTTTTAAAGACTGAAACAAATGCTTGAAAGACAGATTCATTGTTATTCTTAATGAAAAGCACAATATTATTAACTGTAGGCTGCAATGGTCGACTACGTTTATTAATAATAAATGATAAGACGAGGCATGGCATACACAGCATGCTGTATTATATCAAAGATTATAGATTACCTTAAAGGTCTTTGATTATATATCGACTAATAAATTACAGAAAGTTTAGCAAACACTGTGGAATCAAATAAATAAGAATTTTTTTTTTAAATAGGGCCTCCAGCATAATGTCAGGAAACAGCAAAGATACCAGATAAATTGAAAATAACTGACCAACATGTTCACCTTCTCTGGTTTAAGAAGCGGTCTTTTACTTTACTTTTACATTTCGCTTGAAAACCAAATCTTCCGTTAGTTTTAGTATTAGTATGACTACTTGTTTTTTATTACAGCCCATGATAATTAATAGCTACATTACAAAAACATTGTAAAAAAATTAGGCTAAAAGAAAGTCCTCCCACTCTTCTACGTCTACTTCTGTCATCGCTTGGATTACAGCAGGGCTGCCCAAACTCGGTCCTGGAGGGCCGGTGTCCTGCAGAGTTGAGCTCCAACTTGCCTCAACACACCTGCTGGGAAGTTTCTAGTATAAGAGCTTGATTAGCTGGTTCAGGTGTGTCTAATTGGGGTTGGATCTAAACTCTGCAGGACACCGGCCCTCCAGGACTGAGTTTGGCACCCCTGGATTACAGCATCACGCGCCTTATTTTTGAACCTGATTTTCTCCATATTTTTGAACGTGATTTTCTCCAATGAGGGCGAGGAGGGGGCATTTGGCAAATTAAGCTGCAGCACTTATATTCAGTGTTGACAACTTAGTAATTTTATTGCTAAATTTAGCAGCTTTTCACACTACACTAGAAACTTTTTCTTCCAAAAGCACCTAGCAACAAATTTAGCTATTTAAACATTTTATTTGGCTGCTTTTAGCAACTTTTGATAAGTGACTCAAACGATAAAAAGGCACACATTTTCCATCTAAATTACACAAAATGAGTAAACCAAAGATGCCTAGCAGTACACACATCACATGAATTAAGTTAGCTGCTATTAGCAATTGCTCAGTTTAATAATAATAATTGAATAATTGTTAATTTATGATACACCTTGTTAGTAGCTTGTACCAGCGATTGTTGATCAGTTAGTACACTGTAAGAAAAATATCTAGAAAAATGGAAAAGGTACTAATTTTCCAGGACATCATCCATTCTCCATTATCCATTGTAACCCGAAAACACAAAATACAATGCGTAATTTAAAATGCGGGTAAAAAACCTGTGAAAAATCAATAAGGAAAATTCCTTCATATTAACATAGTAGATTGTGCCCTAGTTTACTAGCTAATAAAAAACTTAAATTGCAAGCCCTAATTGTACAACAATGTGTAAGTGTTCAATAATTAAAAAATACAGTTATTTATATTTTAATATTATATTACGTTATATTATTTTTCAAACAAATCTAAATGAACATATATAAAATATTTTTTGCTGAGATTTGATGTAGTGACAATTTTGTGTCATAAATTACGTAATGATGTCATCGTGTAATGACATCACAACATAATTTAGCAACTTTTAGCAACAAATTGACCTTCATTTAGCAACTTCCCCTGAAAATTAGTTGGCAACACTGCTTATATTATTGCACTGGATGGCTATTAACTGTGAGCAGACAGAGTGTCAACCAATGCATTGGAGAATACGGCGAACATAAATAAAGAAACGAAGTTGCTTGTCAGATTTCCCTAACAAGCAAACATATTTTTTAAAATAAACCCCAAAAAACGCGACCCGGGATTTTTTCGTGCAACTTTACAAAAAAAGAAGCCCAAAGTCGCGTATAATACGCGGATTTAGCAACTATGATTATAAATCAGTGGATACGCCCAAAGCACTCACGTGATCGGTGAAATCTGACTCTCTCTCTCTCTCTCATATATATATATGTATATATGTGTGTCACGATCATGGTAACACACATGATACTTATACTTACCATTACAGTTTTTCACTGTAAATTATACAATCATGTTCTTTTTCACTTCCAAAAACTGTAATTTTTATAGTATTTTACTGTAAAATTGCTTTCATGAATGAGGATCTGCTGGACGAAAATAAACGAATGCTTGCTTAATTACTGAATACCGTGCTTGAGATAATTTTATCAGATGTAACTCGTTAATCGTTGGGCTCATCATTTGTATTTGTCCTCTTCACAGAAACACTGACTTGCCAACATCACTCTTGATCATCATCGCCATGAAGAAGAATAATAGCATTTTGAAATACTTTGAGGTGACAAAATGCAAAACATCAAGAAGCATGGATTATATATCTTATTTATAAAAATAAATGTTCAAATTTCTTTGCTTGGCTATTTACAGTTACTAGTTTCTTATGTTGAACATTGTATTGAATTGTTTAGAGAGTGTAGATGTGAAGTTTGTTTTCTATTTCAGAAAAAGCAGCCTGGGAGTAACACTGGAGATAGAAGGGCGTCACAAACTGCTGACAATGCTCAGGTAAGGTCATGATATTTAAATAATAATGATTCAGGTCTAAAAAGTTATTTTAGGTAATTGCTCATGTATCTGAAAAACAGCCAATGAAGACATGCAGGTCATGTAAACGAGCAAGCGCAAGTGAACCAGTATATATTTTTAAAAAATAAAAATACTCACACATGGAACACAAAAAGGTTTATTAGAACTTCTGAAGCCTGCGTGAGAATCAGACCAAAATATAAGTAATTATTCCAATATTAATTTAAAATGATAAAAATATGTTTTTCCTCCGCATTTGGTTTTGCATGTATATTCAAATAGTTTCAGTAAGTAACACATTTCAGTCAGTTCCTCACACAAAGCTAATGTATGGCTTTAGAAGAAATATAATAAGTATGACCTACCTTGTTCTCACTCTGATATTCCTGTTTTTATTTTCATTTGGGCATCAGAACAATCTCGAGTGAAATGGTGCATGTTACAGAAACTGAGAATCTTTGAGTGTACTTTTGTTCAATTATGCGTGGCAGTATTATAAAATCCAGTGCTAATTTGGTAAATGTCCTCAATTGTATTAGATTCAAGTGTATTTAATTAATTGATAATAATACATAGGCTAGTATTTTATTGTTGCTACTGCCATTGTTCTAGGAAAAAAATCATACAAGAAAAAAGGAAAGGGGCTTGGAACTAATGGCCGTGATCCACTAAAGGTTTGTTGCATACTAACATATCATTGAATAAATTGTTTATGGGTGCTCATGAAAAAGTGTGTGTGTGTGTGGAATTTCTCTATGTGTGGAATAAAAAATGTTTTAGGAAGACATTAGCTGCTTTTGAAAAATTCCATATCGCTCTTTTTGCTCATCATTCATTCATTCATTCAATATGATGGTCAAACCATTTACACTGGTGATCTCATATTAGCAATCTGTTAATGAATATGAAAAATACAGATTTCCCTTCATTTAAAAAAATCTGATAGTTCCTTAAAATCTCAAGACTGATCTTTTAATCTAAAACCGTTTCACTGAAAATTACCAGTAGTGCACCTCTTGTCCTGCAGTCTTCTCCACTTCATGAATAAACTGACTACATTAAAGACTTTTTAATAAAGACTTGTTAAAATAAAAGTGCACATTATGCACCGATCATTGACTTGATATCAAATTGGAATGTAATTGAATCAAGAGCTTGTGGAAACAAATTAAATCTGGAATTATTGTTATTATTTGTATAAATTATAATATTACTTGATAATCATTTTACTGAAGTCCTTTATTCAGGTGTTTAAATAAATGCTTTTGTGTATTACTGTTCTTCTGAATTCAACAGAGTGCTGAAGGGCAAAGCCACACTTTTGATTTCCGCTACAAACGTGAGAAATATGCAGTGGCGTGTGATACATCCAAGACTGTGCTCGATGCTCTTAATACAAACAAGATTTTCAGAAAGATTCAAAAAGACAACAAGGAGAAAGAAATGGTGATCCAGAGATCCAAAGGAGCAGTTCCTAGAGCGGCTGTCAAGACCGATTTCCCCTGCTGTCTTATTGAAAGCCATGAGCTCTTAGACATATCCTTCATTAAAAATCATGGAAATGTTGCTACAAAGAAAAAAACAACTGGAAGGCTTTCATTCTCCAATGAATCAAAAAGCTTAGTGATATTTTACATTAAAACAAAAGGAGGGAAGAAAGTGACACGCTTAATGAAAAACAATGAGCTAAAGAAGAAGGTTGAAGATGTTTGTGTGTACGCGTTCAAAGAAGACAAACTGAATGCTGCTCTTCGGCGTGACGGACGATTCATCAATGCCATATTCAAGAAACAGTGTGCACTCTATAACTTGGAGAGCGAGACAAAATATGAAATGTCAAAGACCGTAGACAATCTGGATGAAAATCATTTTGAGATCATTGTTATCAGTGACAAAAACCAGCCAGATAGCCAAGATGGTGTCTTGAGTGATGACAGCACTGAAATGAAAGAAGCTTCAGCCGCTGATTTGAAAGAAATTGTTGATCATAATGAACATCCCATCAACACTGAACAAGAAGAAACACAGAAGAGAAACACAATGAAATCCACAAATCCTGCAACTAATTCTCCTAAAATAATTCCACACTCCAAAGAGATTCTAGCAATTCTTCGTGCTCAGTTTAAAGATTTACTGGAGACATTAAAGCAGAGAGAGAACCTGAAGAACAAATCTGATATCCAAAAGTTCTATAGAGCAGAATATGATAAATGCGTTCAGAGTTTCTTGGAAGTAAAGAAAGTGAAGCAGCTCATGAGACTCTCTGACTCTGTGTGTCAGATTCGAGTGGAGGGATCCGCCAGAGGAACCGGCTTCTTACTATTTGACAGATTCATCCTCACTAATTCTCATGGTTGACCCTTTCACCAGAAAACTTTCAAAGACCTTCACAGCAGTATTTGGCTATGAAGATCTGGAAGCAAAGGAGACCAAGTGTGTGCCGGTCAAGGAACATCTTGCAGCGTACCATCATGGAAAGACCAACACGGGCCCATATCTTGACTTTGCTCTTCTTGAACTGAAAGACGCTGATGAAATCGCTGACTGTCCTGGATTGCTCCGTCGATACATTCATGGCCCCCCTCCTAACTGTGGTGGGATCTGCATTGTGGGACATCCGGGTGAAGGGGTCAAGAAAATGGACCCCTGTTTCATCATTGGGAAAGAGAATCTACAAGAGGCTGCAGATAAACACATCTCTGAGAATGTCAATTTTATTCACGTGATGACACAACAGTCTTTGGCAGAGAAATGGGAAATGCATGACAACCAGATCATTTATAACTCTTGTTTCTTTCACGGATCTTCTGGCTCTCCAGTTTTTGACGAAGACGGCTATCTGATTGGCGTGCACACCGGTGGCTACGCGTACAAAGGAGAAAACTGTAAAACTAGGAGCTTTATGGAATACGCCTATTCCATGCAGCCCATTCTGGAAAGCATCATCACACAGGCCAAGAAAAGTGAGAGATCCGACATCTTGAAATTACTATTAGTTACTCCTATTAATTATCTTGAGGTATTCAGGCATGTTCAACATACAATTTAATTCAATAATGTATAAATTCTGTATGATCATTGGATGCCTTTAGGCAAATGTCCAACTATTCATCCTTATCATTGGTTATGAGTTCTTATTTTCATTGTTAATCTGTTCTTTGTGTAACGTACATTCTGTTTCATTATGTAGCAACCAGAAAACAAACTACATCTTTGTTAGATCAGACAGCATTATTGTGTTTGTATAATTCCAAAGAATAAATTATATTTTGTGATTTACCAAAGTAATAGATCGACACAAAATGAAAATTCTGTTATAAATTATTCAATCTCATATCATTTCATACCTGCACGACTGACTTTCTTCTGCAGAACACAAAATATATTAAGAAAAACATGACAGAATTTTTGGGTGAACTATCCATTAAAGGGTTAATAATAAACATTGTTCTTCAATATTTTTTGATTGCTCCACCACTGTTCAATGCTGCAGATATTTGTAATTTCTGCTGCTTCAGAAAGAGCCCTACAGCTGCATGTATACACTGTATATCTTTTTAAAAATTACATTGAATATTTTTTTGTAACTTTATATTTTGTGCCTCATTTTCGCTATATTAAATAATCATGCTTAAAATAGTTTGGCCTCATTCTTGACTCTAATAGAACAAAGAACTTTCTGATTATAAACACAACATATTTAATATTATGAACATATTATTGATTTTTCTTCAGATTTATGCAATATGCAATAAAGAGTACACATCCTGCTGCTCATCTATAAGTGCTCCTCGATAATAGATCAACAAAATAAATAAAAGAAACTCGGTTCTAAGCTGCTCCTTTACTTACTATTTCATGTCTTATAAACCGCCACTTGTTTGCCAAGTTGTTTTTTGACATCTTGGTGAAAGAGGGGAGCACAAAATAAGAGGATATCTTGTATTTGTATATGCAAAGATGAAAGACAGAAATGTTTATATTTTATAAAGGTATTCATTGGTTTGCATTAGGCTTTTTCAGCTCATCCATTGTCCAGTGAGGGACTGCAGCTTTAACGCTTCTGTCTCTCTGTAGTGTTTTGACCTCTTCTTCTTCTTTGGAAATTTTTGGCGTATTCCGCACCATAGGCACATACCGCCACCAACTGTGTCTAATCATACATGGATGATAGTCCCACCTCTATTCCTATTTTATTAAGGGTTCAAGCACGCAGTTTTTATTTTTTTATTATTCTTCTCCCCTAAAACTGATCGTGCAGACCAAGGCCTAGAGACTTGAAACTTGGCCAGATGGTAGAGCTCAATTTGGGGAGAACCTATCAAAGTTTTTACAGCGCAAAAAACTAAAATTTCAGACATTTTTGGCCCTAACTCGTACACCGCTTGTCGTAGACTGAAAAAATCCTTGGGTCAACATGAACAAAAGTGGATTTTCTCTACGATGCATGTTTTTTCTGCAAAATTTAGTTATATCCGAAACCTACTTTTGCGAACTAGTCCTAGGTTTTTCGCCCGATCGGAACCAAACCACTGCAGAAATATTCTCTGAACACTGAATATCAATAATTATCAAAAAAGTAGAAATTTCGATTTTTGTGCGCAACAGCGTGCAAAGAAACGTCTATGCTAATGTTAGCCAAATGTTATTTTAGCTATAACTCTTGAACGGAATGAGATATCTTCACCAAACTCGGTACACATGTGTACAAGCTCAATCTTTGAACTAATAAAAAAAAACAGAGCTCTGCCACTTGGTGGCGCTACAAGTTGGAAAAAACATAAAAATGATGATAACTGCACAACCGTTGGTCCGATCGACTTGAAAATTGGTATGCAGTGTCATTGTCTATGAGGACATTCGCGTATCTCAAAAAACATGGCCGCCATTGGCCAAACAATTTTAAGCACCTATTTGACAGGGTTAACGCAGGTCGATCGGAACGAAACTCGGTTTGCATGTTCGACTCATGGCCCTAA